TGCACTCCAACCTGGGTAATGGAGTGACACTGTATCAAAATAAATAAATAAATAAATAAATAAAAATAAATAAATAAAATGAAAGAAGCCCATGTGAAAAAGTCAAGTTTTTAGAGAAATTTTACATTTCAGAGAAACATGAAGTTTTTAAATTTTAATGAGGGTTATTACTATGGGAGCTACCATTAATAAATACCTAATTATCTCTAATACCTCAAAAATCTGTGAAAATCTTTTATTGCAAAGCACCAAACACATAAATCTATTACCAACGGCTGCAATGTACTGCACCTGTCAAGATTCCAAATTGTCCAGGACTAGAAATTAACCTTCAATCTACAATCTCTTTAGATCAATTCAGAGCAAAAAGCATCATGCCTGTCAAAGGTAAAAAGTGTCAAAAATGCAAAGGGACAAAACAGCAATCATTTAAGCAACCCTTTCTGGTGGTAAAATCATTCAAAAGAAGAAACAACTGGATCTTAATTACCCAAGAAAACAAAACAAAGAAACCTCTCATACTTCAGGCATGTGAGCCATTTATACCAAGCAGAGTTTGCACTTTAACTTCTACTTAAATTGTCAGAACATTTAATCAATGTATGAAATATTAGTGTGTTCATATCAGCCTAAACGTAGGGTGATATGAATTCTGTCAGATGCTATTGTGGCCCATACAAATAACCAAATTAACACGATCAAAGCTGTATTTTTAATGACTTTAAGGTCTGTTAACTTAGGAAATTCTTCCTTGTGAAAGATCTTAAAAGTCACCTGTATTTACCACTAAGTAGGTTTCTAGGATTTGTGTGAAGTGTGAAGAAAAGTTCTAAACACATTTTCCTTTCCAACAGCCTATTGTCCCGCTGTTGATATAAGCAACATAACTCGTACTCTTTCACTCTGCAGATGTACTGTCTATTCCTGTGTTAACTACAAAACTTAGCTTCATGATAAAAAGACTTGTGATAAAAACTTGGCTTTATAATAAAATCACTATAGCTTTATGATATTTTATTATCTGATACAGCAAATAACCCTGATTCATTATCACTGTTTTCTCAGACATTTATTTCTCTGTCCCAGCTGATATCAACAACTTCCACTTAATCAATTTGAATGACTGATTTAAATGAGAGAGGGAATAAGTTTACAAAAACAAAGTCGAATATTTTACAAAATATTCATCTAAAAGGCAAGATGCTAAAATAAAAAGTGTCAAATTATGAAGAGATTCAGGGGTAAAGTCTAAAAAATTTAGAATCCTACATGCAGGTTCCTTTTCTTCACATCGGTGCAACACAGTAAAGTAATCACAGATCATAGTTGTAGTTTATTTTATGTCAGATAACAGACTGCTTCTTACTAAAAGTCTTTGGCCCAACATAAGATGGGAAAGGGAATTATTTTAGTTTTTAAAAAATCGTATGTATCAATCACTTTTTAAACATTTCCACCTTTAACAAGACTTTTAAAATAACCTAAAAATCATTAGTCCTAATTTCACTAAAGGGCTTCTACTATATTAAGTCTTCCCATTTAAAAAAATGTTACTTGTCTCTATTTGGACCAGCTTTTAAATCTGTAAGCAAAGGTTTAGTATTGCTCTAACAGATCTTAAATACTGCAGGGAAGATTTATTTTCCCTTACAACAGTCTTCCCTTATCCGTAGGAATACATTCCAAGATCGCTAGTGGATGCCCGACTGTACAATACAGCCACACACACACACGTTTTTTTCCTATACATACATACCTATGATAAAGTTTAATATATACTATAATAAAAGTTATGTGAATGTGACTTCTCTCTCAAGATATCTTATTGTACTGTACCACAAGTAACTGAAACCATGGAAATTGAAACCTCGGATAAGGGGAGACTACTGTACTTGTTTATATATCCATCTGTCCCATTATTGCCCATTCAGATTCCCTTCTCTTATTATCACAGGTATCACTTTTGATATCTGTTGTTTAATTTTTGTTTTCTTGAAACTATATGGTGCTTTGCATATATCTTTTTAAGTTTCAGAAATGGTACTGAGGAATGAAAATTGTTTCTTTTACTTTTTTATGTACTCACTGCTATGTTTAGAAGCCATCAATGTTGCTGTATTATTTGGTCCACTGTTTCTAACTGCTACATATTCTACAGTGTGCGTGTGCCACATTTTACTTATTTGAATATCTACGAATGATGGATACCAAGGTCGCTTCCAAATCCCCACTACTACAAATGATGATGCAATATTCTGACAGAGATCACATTTATGGAAATGATGTGATCTCATCTTTGAAATATATACCCAGGAGAGCCAGTTTACACTCCTATCAGCACTGCATGAGGGTTCTCATAGCTTCACATACCTGCCAGCACTTAGCATTACATAGTTCTCTAATTTCTGCAAATCTGATGCTCAAAAAGCTGTATCTCGTTTTATTTTTCTTTCTCTAATAAATGATTCTGGACATCTACTCATATGAATTTCTTGTTCTATAAACTGCCTATCCATATCCTTTGCTCATCCTTGTTGATCTGGAAGAGTTCCTTGGATATTCTACATTAGCAGTCCCTTTTCAGTTTTAAAACATTGTTAAGTATCTTTCAATCTACCATGGGTCTAACTTCTGTTGAATGAAGTGCTGCTTAATTTTGTCTGCAGACCAGCTGCTATTACACCAATTGTTTTCAAATGTTATTGGTCCATGACAAAATGAAGTTGTACCACATCAGTAACTATACTATAGAATGTTATTTGACCACATCAGTAACTATACTATTTAGTACAAATGACATTTTTCCTGATAAAGGAAGCAGTGTCTAAGGGCCTAAGGAGTAGCCTCGAGTAATGTGTTTTTGTGTTGGGAGGTATATTTCTTAATAAAATATCAAAATTTTACTTTTAGTTTATGCCTAGAGGATTTTAAGAATTTTTCCCCACCACTGTATTACAACATAACCTCCTAAATTAACTTCTCCCAAACATACAGTTTCAGCCAATATGACTTATTTTACAAACAATATTTGCTCATACCGTGAATGGGGTCTTTCCACCGATCTTATTTTTTTGCGCGCTCTTGTCGCCCTAGCTGGAGTGCAGTGGCACCATCTCAGCTCACTGCAACCTCCCTCTCCCAGGTTCAAGTGATTCTCCTGCCTCAGCCTTCCCAAGTAGCTGGGATTATAGGCATGTGCCATCACGCCCAGATAATTTCTGTATTTTTTAGTAGAGAAGGGTTTTCGCTGTGTTGGCCAGGCTGGTCTCTAACTCCTGACCTCAGGTGATCTGCCCGCCTTGGCCTCCCAAAGTGCTAGGGTTACAGGCGTGAGCCACTGCACCCGGCCTCACCAATCATTTTCTAATTGGTTACTATTAATACATGGAGGAGCTGTTTCTGTATATTGATCTCTTACTTGGCTACCTCACTGTGCTTTTACTAGTTATAATAATTTTATATTATCTCCCCAGGAAACCAAGAGACTCATCACCTACACACAAATAGTAACAAATCTTCTCTTTCTTTTTCGGAGACAGGGTCTCATTTTCTCACCCAGGCTAGAATGCAGTAGCATGGTCTTCGTTCATTGCAGCCTTCACCTCCCAGGCTCAAGTGATCCTCTTACCTCCTCAACCTCCCAAGTAACTGGGGCTATAGGGGCGTGAAACCATGCCTGGCTAATTTTTGTACTTTTTGTAGAGATGGGGTTTTGCCATGTAGCCCAGGCTAGTCTCAAAACTCCTGGGCTCAAGTGATCTGTGCCTGCCTCAGCCTCCCCAAGTACCAGGCATGAGCCACCATACCCAGCCCAAATTTTCTCTTTTAATACGTATTCTTCACTTCTTTCTTTTCTCTTCTATTGGATAGGATCTGTACTACAAATTTAAATGACCTAAGTTAATGCCTGACATTTTTGTGTGACTTTTGAATTCAATGGAAATGCCTCAGCTCCCCCATTATGACTTCTGGTAGGTAACTCTAGTTTTCTTTAAGTTTATAATGAAGCTTTTGTTAATGTGATAAATTTTACCAAGGGCTTTGGAAGCATCTATTTAATTACAGTTCCTTTTACCTTTTAACTGTGACTTGGGATTCCAACGTTAAACCTCCTTATGGTTTTTAACAGTAAGAGGAAATGTTTACAGTATCTTAAGAAAACAGGTTGGATGCATTTACACACGTATTTGCAAATCCAAGAAAAAAATGCTCCAACTTTAAAGGAGGTCTCATAGGAATAAATTACAGGTGATTGACATTTTGCCTATATTTTCCTAAAATTTTCAGAATACATTATGTTTATAATTATACAAAACTCATTTTTAAGTAATCATGACACCTAAAATTAGCCTGAAACTTGAATTACTTTGAGGTTAACTATTAAATATGCTTTTAAAAAGCCAACCATTATGCTTTTCTTCTAAGAAAGCTTTCCAACTCTGGTTACCTCTCAAACCTGAGTATATATTAAGAAACTGCCTCTGGGAACACTGGACAATAGTTTGGTAGAGGTGAACTTTTGTGTGAAAGCTTTTGGCTTCAATTATAATCACTACTACTTACTGATCACAGTACTGACTACCCCACAATTCATTTTATTTTAAAACAACTCTGAAGTAGATATGCTAAATTCCCAGAAGAGAAAACTAGTATCAGAGCTAATAAGCAGGGCCAGGACTCAAATCTAGGTGTTATTATTGCACTGTACTTCCTTCTCACACAGAATCGAATCTAATTTTGAACTTTCCTTTCAGAAGAGAAGTTGTCACTTTTGAACAGAGAGATTTTGTTTGCTGAGCAGAGATTAATGAATTCCTTCAAAATTACTTAATAACTGAGAATACTGAGGTTTCAAAAGAGGGCACCAATAGTTCTAACTCAATTAGGCCAGTGAAGTTACCTTAAGGATTCTAATCTATTTTAACACTCCAAGAAACACCTGTTGAAAGGAACCATATGCTCCAATTTTTGTACCCCTCCACACTTCACCGAAGACTCACCTCTGCCAAATGTTGTAGCCGAGTTAGCAGCGGGGTCCTCTTGTCAGATCCCAGGCGAGTGATGTAGTTTGATCTTTTACTAAATACATATAGGAGATTAAGGACTGCCAGCACCACTTGCATATCAGAGGAAGCCAATAAAGTTGTCAAATGCTACAGGGACAAAAAAGGGCAATGTTCAAGGTATCAGGCACAATTGGCTTCAAAAACAAAACAAAATTTGTCAACATTTACAAAGCTATAATGAAGTTTAGTCACAACAATACAAAAAATATATAAGTATTTGATAATCTACAACATGCAATCTTATCCCCAAGGAGCTTAAAATCTGATAGCTATAAAACTCAAGAAAAGTAAAAATTGTAAATAGCAGTTCAAAACTGCGCAGGTGTTCCCACAGGAAGGAAGGGGTTACAAAAGAGACAAATGAGATATAATACACATGTGGGACTCAAGAAGAACAATAAGTCTGTAACTGGACTAAAAGTATTGTGAAAAATATTTTATGTTCTCTTCTATATCCTTTATGACAAACATAAAATTGAAATTAATTAAAAGTGTCCTTCATACAGAAGGTAAAGCTACCAACAACACAGCTGGTGGCAACTACGTAACATGTAACTGTTATAGTACGGTATATACTCATAAGTAACCTGAGTGACTACTCTGGGTTTTTTGTTGTTGTTGTTTAGAAACAGGGTCTCCTCTGCTGCCCAGGCTGGAGTGCAGAGGCATGATAATACCTAGCTCAAGCAATCCTCTCATCTAAGTCTCCTGAGTAGCTGGGACTACAGGCATGCAACCACCACGTCCCCACTAATTTTTGTGTTTTTTGTAGGGATGGGGTCTCACTATGTTGTCCAGGCTGGTCTTGAACTCCTGGGCTCAAGTGATCCTCCCCCGCCCCAGCCTCCCAAAGTGTTAGGATTACAGACATGAGCCACTGTACCCGGCCTTACTTTGGCTTTTAAATACAATTAAAATTTACCGAAACATTGAAGCATTTGGTTACAATTAAAATCAGTGAGTAATATAGCTGGAAATGAATCAAGGCATTTTCAGTTGCCAATTATACCAAAGGCCATGGACTTCCATGGACAGTATATCTATTTCATCTTCAACAGAGTGCCTATTTACCTCCCATTTAAATCCCTGCATGTTAGGCCTTTAGTTCAGTTATCCCACTTCTTTTCCTAAGCCATTTTCTTTTAACTTGTTTGTTCTGATTCTGTTTGTTTACTGAAGATTTAGAAAACTTATACACCTAAAATTAACAGGGAACCTAATTAATGATGATAGGAAGTCTAAAGTTGGCTTCTCTAAGAAGGAAATAGTTTCTTCTTACACTGATTTTTGACCAATTGAAAAGTTCACTGATTGCTGCACCCATGTTACTCTTTAAGGACACAAAGGATGCTATGAATATATATTTTGGGGTGAGTGTGGCAGAGTACAGAGAGACTTTAAAGCAGCACACTAAAGCCTAAAAGAGTAGTAAGTACATTAATGTGATGAGAAAATCAAACTATTTCTAGCAATCTAAAAGTAACATGGAGCTGCTCTAACAACCTAGGGCAAAAATCAATTCGTTCAAATTTCCTAAAATACTTTAATACATACGTAACATTTCTCATTCATTTCTTGAATCTTGAAAAGGCAGGGCAAAGGTGACAGTACAGAAGTTTCCCATCAATCCTATGAAGGATAATATGTCTATCCAAGAAACATTCTACTACTGTCTTTGACATAGTAAAAAACCCAGAGTAAATCCATAGTAAAAACTCAGAGCTCCACAAAGAAAAGGAACCAGCAATAGAGAGAAATAGCAATTTCTTTATTTCTGGATATATGCAATTCTAGTTAAGAACAGAGTACACAGGCTTTAACTTCACCTACCTCTATGGAACTGTACAGATGCCGGGAAAAGCTGTACTCAATGAGCAAGGCTGTGAAGTTCAACACAGCCAAGAGAAGCATTTTCAGTTGCTCTCTTTCTGGCCTATCGCATACGAGCATCCATGACATATTCTCCACTGTCTGTCCAGCATCTGCCAGTATTCCATCGAAGCGGTCCAACAGGTCCACCCAGTGATATAACTCGCACTGCAGAGGGGAGGAAAAAGAAGATGTAAGAATAAGGTAGAAGTGCTGCATGGGTGCTTTGTAACTGAGCTTTGTTACAAGAGATGGCTGAGCATGACACCTAGATTAGTTCACATCCCACCTTTGCCCATATGAGAAAGATCATACTCTGAGCTAAAAGGACTGGAGTTCATTGTAATACCCATCTAGATATATGTGCTAACTCCAGTAGACACTATAAAACCCGTAGAGCTAGGTCTTTAGACACAGAACGTTAGTTACAATCTAAGATCTATGAAGACAAGAGAACTATCCTTCCCAGAATCCATTTAATTCATTTGTAGAGTTATCAATAAAAATTATTCTAAACTAAAGTAAAAATCCAGAGATTATCTCAAACTTATTTTGTCAAACTAAAGGAATTCTGTGGTTGAGATTCTTTAGCATCGCCTGTGAAATCAATTCCTCATCCTCAGCCAGCAACATTTTCCTTGCCACTGGTTTAAAGCTGTGTTAGGCACATGGTACATGCTAGACGCTTATTAAGTAATTGCTGAATGAGGCTATCCCATTGTGGTTTCTCATTCCATATCAGAACATACAAAATGATGTATTAGTATAGTGAGCCCTGTCTTTTGGGAGCATGGCTTCATATACCTTTCCAATGTTCCATGTTTTGATCTGCTGCAGTTCCAAGAGAAGTTGCTCATCATTACAAACTTTGAGTTTGTCTATTAAGGCTCTGCAGTCTGCAGGCTGAAAAAAAAAAAAAATATTCACAAAAGATGTTACAAAGGAGAATCGGAAGAGGAACCCAAATTCACAAAGTAATTTTCCTTTTGCTAGAAATTACTAAAGAAAACTGTAGATTTGCCAGACAATCTCCTGGGATTAAAATGGAAACCTCATGAGAAAACACTTTTATTCCCCAACAATCCACCTGGCCTTCAAAAAAACCACCGCAACACTTTGGATAAAGGTAGATGCAGACAAACTATTTGGAAAGGTACGCAGACAACAAAAATTTAAAAAATAAAAAAAAAGCTAAACATCTAAAAAAAAATAAAATTAAGGAAATCTATAATGGTCTGAAAGTTAACCAGAATGCCTACTAGGTTATATTGAATCAGAGACTGAAAAATCCTAATGAATTCACAATTAAAGGTGAAGATTAGCATTCACTATATTTTTCTGTAACATAAAACCCTTCACTTGTAAGATGGTAAAGAGCTTCTGAACTTCATAAAAATAGGACCCTATTATTTCTTGGGGTTCTCATTTCCATATATTTCTGCTCTCTTCTACTGATGAATGGGCCTATTTGTCAGGTAACAAGGAGTGGACTGAGCATTTATAGTAAAGTTTCTGAAAGTGGAAGGAGGGAAAGGGATAGGGGCTGGGAGAGAGAAGCCTTCCATTAATGAATGGCAGTATAGCGTCCTGGGAATGGACCAGAGGTCTGGAAACAAACAAGTGTGGATTCACTTTTTAGCTTCATGTTTACCAAGGTGTTTGATCATGAGCAACGCTTAACCTCTAAGCCACAGCTCTCTTATCAGAAAAACAGACCTAATAGCTACCTCAGAAATATGAAACTCAAATATCTGTCATATACATAAAATACTTATCTCCTGTAACAGGAGCTCAGATACTCAGAGACATTAAAAAGAGCATGAGCCTTGGAATTAGGTAGTTAGTAAGCTACCTCTTTGAATCTCAGCATCCTCTTCTGCACCTAACTCGTACCTATATACCCAGCAATGCTGTTGTGACATTTAAACTGGGAGAAATGTATTTTTGGCATCCAAAACAGAACATGGAACTTACTAGGGGTTTCTTTAAGCTAAGTCCAAACCTTTCCCCCTCTAAAGTAAGCATTATTAAGATCTACCAAAAGCCAGGGTCCCAGCACTTTGGGAGGCGGAGACAGGTGGATTGCTTGGGCTCAGGAGTTCGAGACTAGCCTGAGCAACACAGTGAAACCCCCGTCTTTAGTAAAATACCAAAAATTAGCCGGGTGTGGTGGCATGCACCTGCAGTCCCAGCTACTCAGGAGGTGAGGCAGGAGAATTGCTTGAACCCATGAGGCAGAGTTTGCAATAAGCACTCAAACCTGTGCGACAGAACAAG